AGTCATAGAGCCCTGGGATGCTGGTGTGGCTGACCTTAGTTACTCAGTCTCCAGCCGCTCCAGAAGCCACACTGATACAGCATGACCCGTACATCACATTGTTGGTGTAAACTGCCTGGCGTGGCCCAAGGGCCCAGGTGGACAGAGGTGCTCTTTTCAGGCAGGATATTCTAAGAGTTTAGAGGTTAGCTCCCAGGAGCTATCAAGGGCCAGTGCTTTCTTTGGAACGTGCAGGGTTTGAAATCCTGCAGAGTTAGTCATTTACTGCACGTTGAGCTTTGCCAGTTTTCCCACTAATATCTTTTTCCTGGTTCAGGATCCATTCCAGGATCCCACACTGCATTTAATTGTCCTGTCTCCTCCAATTGGTACAGTTCCTCAGTCTTTCTGTGTCTTTATGACCTTGATACTTTGAGGAGTACTGGTGAGGTGTTTTTTTCAGAATGTCCGTCAATTTAGGTTGGGGTATGAGAAGGTATGGGCGACACCTCCCCCACAAAAGGGACTGGGAGAAGGGCAGAGTGTCTTGGGGTGGCCAGCCATGAGGGAGGGGTGGATGCCAGACAAGCTTAGGGACTAAGAGAAGTAAATGAGTGGAAATAGAGCTTGGAGGGGTCCGCAGTGGCAGATATGACAGACAGAATGAAACTACCAAGGAAAGGGAAAACAATAATTAACTTTTACTGAGTGCTGGTCATGTGCCTGTGCCTAACAAATATTTTATATTTGTTAATTCAGCCCTCTTAACAGTCTGTAAGGCTGGTACTATTGGAACCTTCGTTTAACAGATGAGAAACTCAGAGATGTTAAGTAACTTTTCGAAGGTCACCCATCTGGTGAGTGGCAGAGCCAGATCCCCTACCCAACCCCCAAGTCTAAAGTCTGCCTGACTTTGTGGCCTGGGCTCTTAACAGCCATGCTGTGCTACCTGTCACGATATCCGAACAAGGGGAGAGAGAGGTGGGGAGAGGGAACTTTCATCCCTTGAAATGTGCCAGGCCCTGGGCTAGGTGCTCTGTGTCTGTTCTCACATGTTCCAGGACCTACCAGGCATATAGTAGGTGCTTAATGCGTGTTTCTCTCCTTCCTGCTCCTTCCCTGAGCTTCCTGGGCCAAGAGCAGGCATGTGGACTCCTGTGTCCCATTTGGCCACTGGCTTCTCTCAAAGCCGTGAATGTCCCTGGGGCCCACTCTGCCTTACCAGATTGGCTTGGGCCGGGCCCCCTGCTGGCAGAGGAGGAGGAAGGAGGAAAGTGGCTGGCCATTTGGCCTCAGCAGGCTTGCAGAATATTTCCGGCAACAGATGGGAAGGCTTGAACGTGGGTGCTTTGCAAAACTTTCTCCTGAGCCTCCATCAGCAAACGCTGATGTGCCAATATGAACGCGCAGGCTCCAGCGGGTGGGTGTGAGTTCACATCTGGCTTTTGCCACCTGCTGGCTGTGTGCTTTTGGGCAATAGCTTTGCCTCTTTAAACCTCAGATGCTCCATCTGTAAAATGGAGGTAATGACAATCCTGGGGGCTGAAACGAGAGAATTCACACAAAGTGTTTAGGCCAGTCCCTGGCACAGACACTAAATGTTCGGTAAGAGCAGATATCATTACCTATGTCACGGATGTGGAAAATGTCGTTCAGCAAGTTGCCCAGACTTGTGACAAGGAGCGATTGGCGAAGGTGGGGCTTGATTCCAGATCCAGGCACAGAATTAGTTCTTTACAGGGCAAGCCTGGGACTGACCTTGCAGGGGGAAATGAACAGTTCAGTTCAGGCACACAAAAGCGTGAGCTAGCTGCTTTGGTCCCATGGGAAGCCCTTCCTTGGAGCGGGGAACCCCCGGCTAGCATAGCTGTTGCCAGGCAGCCCAGGAGAGTTGCCAGGGTCCCTCCCTGGGCAATCCTGCTCATCTCTCTTTGCAGGTCCTTTCTGGGAAGTGGATGGGCACACTTAATGAGAGGGCCAGATTTGGAAAACAAGCCCAGCCCCGTGTCCTCTCTGGGCGAGTGCCAGCCGATCATCAACTCAAATAACTGTGATGGGCTGAGATGAGGACAGCAACCGCTGGGATGTAGGGGCTCTGTTCTCATGAGGCCCAGCAAAAGGGGGCACCGTAAAACAAGGCCCTGGTGGGAGCAGCGTGGTTGGGTTTGATGGGTCTTTGGGAGCAATGGAACATCAAATGGTTTAGGCCACTGCTCAGCTGCAGGTACAGTTCTGCAAGGGGGCAGGCTGTGATGGTAGATTTTTAAAATTAATTAATTTATTTTTGGTTGCGTTGGGTCTTCGGTGCTGCATACTTTCTCTAGCTGTGGTGAGCAGGGGCTACTCTTCGCTGTGGTGCACGGGCTTCCCATTGCAGGGGCTTCTCTTTGTTGTGGAACACAGGCTCTAGGCGCACGGGCTTCAGTAGTTGTGGCACGCGGGCTCTGTAGTTGTGGCTTGTGGGCTCTAGAGCGCAGGCTCAGTAGTTGTGGCGCATGGGCTTTGTTGCTCCGCGGCATGTGGGATCTTCCTGGACCAGGGCTTGAACCCGTGTCCCCTGCATTGGAAGGCGGATTCTTAAGCACTGTGCCACCAGGGAAGTCCCCGTGATGGTAGATCTTAACCCGTTGGTTGGCCCCAGAGACTGGTTGGCTTTGGGGGTGGGGGTATGATATTGGGGATGGGGCCATGTCTGTAGTGTGTAGATATTCCTCACCCCAGGACTCATGTCAGTCTATGATGGCCTGCATCTATGTTAGCCAAATCTCTCAAGTTCAGATGGACAAAAGGAAGGTGAGATATGTTCCTGAATCTTGTGTCAAAAGGTTAGGATGGCATAGGGACCCCCTAGGAGCCCTTTCTAAGAGCACAGCCTGGCTCTGGTGGAAAAGATGTAGGCTTTGCCGACAGACGGCTCTGTGTGAATCTCATCTCTCCCCAGGAATTGTTTTGTGACTTCTGGCAAGTCCTTTAGTTTACCCGAGCCTTGGTTTCTTCATCTGCAAAATGGGGAGGATGATACCAAATTGTTATGAGTGGTGACATTGCTGGCTCTCCATAAATGCAGTGATCATTACTGATACCCATTCACAACTTTTTTGAACACCTACTATGTGCAGAGTCCGTCCTGGCTGGGAGTGGTAAAGATCAGCAGAGTCAGAAGGGGTCCCTCTTTTCATGAGGCTTGGAATTTGGATAATCTCAAGTGTGGTGAGGTTGGCCTGCAAAAACTCCCTTGGAGCACACACTGCAGAACCAGGGAGGGAGCGTCCCTTCTTCTCCTGAGTTCTTCTGTCTCTCTCCCAGGTTTTGTATTTAGTGCTGGTTTGCCTTTGAAGAGGGTGTCTCCACACCCAGACCAGGACTTGTGGTCTGCTGGGTGTGAGAGTGTGGCCTCAGGACTTGTGGTCTGCTGGGTGTGAGAGTGTGGCCTCAGTGAGACCAGGACTTGTGGTCTGCTGGGTGTGAGAGTGTGGCCTCAGGACTTGTGGTCTGCTGGGTGTGAGAGTGTGGCCTCAGTGAGAACAGGGCTTGCTGCTGTCGGCTCCCATTTAGGGCAGGGTCTGCCATCAGAGCTACTGCTGCAGCCTTGTCCTTCTCCAGGGTCTCCAGGACTGGGTGATGGCCTGACCGCTGCCTTCAGGGATGAGCTAACTCTCTGGATGCCTGGAAGGAGGTGTGGAGGAGCCATGCAGCTCCAATACGAGTTCTGAAGGCACAAGTGCTAGTAGGGCCCAGGAATACTGACAAAAGCCCAAGAGGCCAAAGGAAAGCTTCTGGACCAAATTGACACCTCTGGGCCAGGGTCGACATTGTGGAGGAAGGATTCAAGTGAGTGATGGTGATGAGAGGGGCTGAACCTGGGAAGAGGCTGGATGTATTGCAGAAAGAAGAAGAGGGAGAAGGGGCTTCTCATTCACTCATTCATTCAACAAACATTTAGTAAGCACCTGCTATCTGCCCTATGCCCCAAGTGGCCAAATGCCTTTTCTCAAAACCGTGAGTGGGATGGGGCTGGGATTCTTTTCCCTGGAGCCTAGATGCCAGCATGGCACAGGCTAGGCCACTTGCTGGCAGGCAAGGAGGAAGGAGGAAGGCCATTTAGGATTCAGCCATAAACAAGACAGACAAAAATCTCTGCCCTCATGGAGCTGACATTATCGTTAAGAGAGACACACAAGATAAATAAGTAAAATCTATGTTAGACGGTGATAAGTGGTAAGGAGGAAAAATAAGGCAGGGAAAGAAGGGATAGGAAGAGTGTAGGTGATGCTGAGATTTTAGGAGGGGCGACCAAGGGGACCTGGTTTAGAAAGAGCATGAAAAAGACCTGAAGAAAGCAAGGGAGTGAACTGTGTGGCTCTGTGAGGGAAGAACACTCCCAGCCAGGAAATAGCAGGTGAAAAGGCTGGGGGGCGGGGGGCACATGCCTGGTGGGTGTGAGGCTGGGCTGGCTGGAGCTGTGTGAGGAAGAGGAAGGCAGTGGGAAGTGGGGCCGAGGTTAAGAGAGCTGGACGCCTAGGACCTTCTCTGTCACAGGAACGACTCTATTGGGAGCCAGACGAGTGACAGATCTGCCTTAGACGTTAACGGGATTTTTAACCTCTTAACATTTTGACTGCTCTGTTGAGAATAGGCTGTAGGGGGCAGGGGCAGAAGCAGGGAGAACAGTAGGAGGAGGCCACTGCAATAATCCCGATGTTTTATTTCCCACTGTGCCCCCAGCACGTGGCATGTTTCCTGGCACAGAGCAGACACTCAACAAATGCTTACTGAATGACGTGTGAATTAGCGATGCCCAAATACCGGTTCTCAGACTGGTGCCGTGTAGGCTATATGGAAAAAGTGTAGACAAACCGATCCCAGGCACTGTTGCTGGGGATCCTGATCCAGTAGGTTTCTGATGGCAAAGAGGAATTTGGCTTTTCAGTACAGTCTGCAGGTAATTCTGGGCAGCAGGGTTGGCCTTCTGTGTCAGCTAGGAATGCTTTTGGCTGCAGGGAACAGAGAACAACCAGCAATGGCTTAAACAAGAGGGTTTTATTTTTATTTACAAGAATTCTGGAGGAGGATGTCTGCTGGCATTGGCTTGGTCAAGGGACGACAGGTCAATGTTTCTAAAATTCTCTTGGCCATTTTCTCATTGTAGCAAGATGGCTGCTGTGGCTCCAGGCATCCCATCATCAAGGTAGGAAGAAGGGAGGAGCAGGGAGTTGTTACCCAATCTGTCTCTTTTATCAGAAAAACATAAGCTTTCCTAGGAGCCCCTGTAGACTTTGTCTTAAATTTCACTGGCCATACCTGGTCACATGGTCACCCCAAGCTGTAAAGGAGGCTGTAACGGTGAGACTCTGTATTTACGGCCTCTACAATGGGAGATGGCTGGAGAGAAGGAGTTGGGGCTGACCGCTGGGGAGTGATCAAGGGTGTCTGCCATGGCTCCATGGACGACATGGTACTTGAGTTTCCGTCTACTTCTGGGGCTTTGTCTCCATGATTTGCCACCTCTGTGGAGCACCTATGGGGCCCACAGAGTGAAATCCCAAGCCTCCCCTTGGAGGGGCCTACTTCATCCTAGATACTCAGTCTTGCTTTTCCTGTCTGAACCACACACAGGGGACAGCTTCTTTGGGGAAGGGGTGGCCTTTATTTAGGGACTGTGCATTTTTAGCATTCTCTCACCTGGCAGACATTTAAAACAGTATTACCATCTTCTCACTGAGACTGTCACATTTGAGAGACTTTTAGAGCCGCCGCCCCCCACAGGAAAAGGATGATGTCTTTAGTCCCTCTCCAGCCACCCAGTTAGGCCTAAGACCAGGATGATCCCTTTCCTCCCACCTTTGGTCCAAGTATCAAAAGGGCATCCCAGCGGTAGCTCTTTCTGGTAGCTCTGTGCCAGTCTTGGGGTGTGAAAGGAAATGCTTTTCTAGCACTGCCCTGCTACCTTGAATGATGGGTTTACAAAGCCAGAGGCAGGGACTTCAGGGGAAAAAGAAACAGGCCCGGTTTAGTCTCTAAATATGGGATAGGAGCAAAAGGCTGAAACATTTGGTCTCGCGTTGGGAAGGGCGTTTTGAGGAAGAATGGGTGAAGTCACTGAAGCTGGCCCAGGTGATGGAAACCAAATAGGGGTGGGTCCCAGGTGCAGAGGCTGGAAATGGGGACTCAACGGGACCAGTTTGGAAGGGTGGCTGTAGGGTCTTCAAACCGTTTTTTATATTTTCAGAAGCCTATTGGAAACCACTTTATAATTTGCTCTTCATAGCCTTCGGGAAAAGGTTTAAAAGAAAAGTTTTGTGGGAGTCTTTGGCTAGAATTGCATCAGTGTGGTAAGAAATGCAGATTGGCGATTACATACATTTCTGGTCACATAACACAATTTGCTAGGCAAGAGCCTTCCCAGGCCTGAGGTCCCTGGGGTGGGTGGAAAATAAGGAGCCCTTGGGGGCCGTGGTGGCAGGTGGGAATCTCCAGGGCAGGGGGCCGTGGGCGCTGTGGGGCAGAGATGGCCTCATTGACCACCCCTGGATGCTCCAGCCTTGCCGGGTACGGTGTGGGCCTCAGCCCAGCAGTCTAGGAGCTTCTTAGCAATGAGAATCTCAGCCCTCACCCCAAATCTACTGACCCAAAAGCCAGTCTTTTAGCAAGATCCCCAGTAATTTATAGGCACTGTGAAGTTTGAGAAGCACTGTTCTAGCCGTCCAGTAGCGGAAGGGCTGCAGCCCTGGCTAGGTGTGGTTACAGGGCCTGGAGAGGGTAGGGCTGTGGAGAGGAGAAGATAAAGGCATGGGGGTGGGGAAAGGCTGGCAGAGTCTGAGAAAGAAGCTGTCATCGTTAGACAGACCCGTCCTCCCCTCAGGCGGCTTGCAGAGCAGGCATCCCGGGATGCTCTGCTGAGCTGCCCCACACCGGGATGCAGAGACCACCCCAGGCAGGGACGTTCTTGGAGACCTGGGAGCTGGGCTGCCCAGAGAAGCAGGGCCCCATGGGGCCTGGGCAGAACGGACGGCTTGTCCAGCCAGAGATGCCCCTGTCCCTTCTCAACTCTGCCAGAAAAATCTTGGCAGAGCTCAGAAGCCCCCTCAGGGAGAGGTGCCTGGTGAAAGTTTTCCCAGCAGTGGCTTCTTCTTGGAGCAGGAGGGATGAGTACTCAGAACGAAAAGGCTGGGAGCTCAGGAGCCCCCATCTTCGGGGGGTTGGGGGGAGGGCGGCCCTCTGGGACAACGCATTTTACAGAAGCGAGTGTGAACATCACAGATGTGTCAAGACCAGGGGCCCAGGGCTGCCGGCTACAGCAGGGCCGCAGGAAGGTGTGGGGACCAGGGGTGGGCTGCAGGGGGCGCTGGAGCTCCAGCAGCTGGCTCTAAAGCGCTCTCTCTTCACGGGTCAGGGTGGTGATTCTCCGCAGGTTTTCCCTGACTTTAATAAATTCGGGGGCATGGTCCTCTTCCTTTTCTGGTGGTTTTTCCAGCTGAAGGAGAGAGAAACAGAGATGTGAAGTGGGTGGGCTAGGGGAATTCCCATTCTCAAAAGCCACTGGGTTTGGACCAAGGGTCCTCTCTGGGGAAACAGAATGGGGATCAGTTTTGCCCCCAGCCTGGTAGCTGGGGGGAACACAGCATGAGACTGTTTTCTCCCCGTGAAGCCTGGTTCAGATTGCTAACCTCGTTTCTAAAATGGGAACTCCACCGAGCTCACGGGGCAGTTGAGAGAGGGCAATCAGAATCAGCATGCAATACATTGGGCCCATGAGGAAACTGAGGTTCAGAGAGAGGAAGCCACTGGCCCAAAGTCACGCAGCAAAGGGAGTGGCAGAGTGAGGACTCAGGCCAGGGGTGGACTCCTGGTGCAGCCCCCATTTTGCTCAACCTCGTGGTCAGCTGTGGCCGCATACGGAGCTCCTCCCTGGGCCAGGACAGTCTTGGAGGAGGCGTGGGCCGGGTCTGGGGGCCCCCACCCACCTGGCTCAGCCTCTGCTGCCGTTTCAGGAGCTCCTGCTCAAAGGGGCACTGCAAGCGCTTGGCCTCCAGTTCCTCCTTCTTCTTCTTGATGAGCTGGTTCCGCCGGCGGTGCTCCAGGACACGTTGCAGCTCCGGCTTGCTGTCCACGCCCAGGCCCCTCGGGTGGCGGGAGGAGGTGTTTGTTAGGAGACCCCCAACTTCTCCCCACCCAGGGCTACACCCTGCACAGACATCAACCTATACCATTACATTGTGCAATCTTCCTGCTAGCCCGGGGAGGTGAAACAATTACTGTCCCGTTATACAGGGAAGGGAAGCGAGGCTCCTAGGATTTAAGACACGGGGCCAAGTCACAGCTATGAAGGGACTGAATGAGGATTTGCACCTACGCCTGTCTAAGTTCAGAGGCCAGGTTTTATGATATTACTGGTTATTTTCTCAGGATGAGTTTCTAGAGGTAGAGCTGCTGGGTCAGGCGCTTTTAAAAGATTTTGGATACATATTCCCGTCTTGTTCCTTAGAAAAGATTATCCACTTTATACTTCCGTCAACAGTATACAAGAGCATCTGTTTCTCCCTATTGTCACTATCCGATCTTTTTGTATTTGAGAATCTGGTAGGCAAAAAATATCTGGTTTTCCTTTGTTTCTTTGATTGCTAGTCACATGGACCAGCCTTGGAGATGTTTGCCAGCTACTTGCATTTCTTCTTTTGCGACCTAACCATACCTATCATTTTTTCCTTATGAATTTATAAGAGGTACATATATATTTTTATCATTTATATTGCAAATATTTCCCCTGATTTGTCTTTAGGCTTTTGTTTAATTGTGGTGATTTTAAACGGGATGACTCTAAAAGGTAACCTGAGAAAATACTCATAATACACAGTCAGCCCTTTGTTTCCGCGGATCAGATCGGTGGTTGGCTGACTCCGGCGATACGGAGGGCTGGCTGTACTATGCCATTTTAAATACATAAGGGACTGGAGCATCTGTGGAGTTGGGGTTCTGTGGGGGGTTCCGGAACCCACCCTCTGTGGATACAGAGAGACTGCTGTGACTAGGAGGAGGGGGTGGGCACAACACGGAGGAGGCAAAGTGAGATCTGAGGAAGGGATGTTGCGCACAACTGAAAACAAGAATGAAAATCACAGCCAGCGCCAATACCAAAAACGGCCAGTAGAGGGAGCTTCAAAGGCACTGCGGCCTTCGTCCTGGTGCTCCGGCCTCGGAGGGCCGGAAAGCTCAGCCTCCCTCTCCCCTTCCCCACAATCTCTCTCAATAATCCAGTCCCAGCCCTGATGCCCCAAGCCTGCCTTGCTCATTGCATGCTCCTGGCCTCCTTGCTCCACTCATACCCCCTCCACGACTGTGACACCCCTGCTTGAGACCCTTCACAGGTCCACATGTCTCTTCTGGCCTACCTTACAATCTTTGCTCCAGCCACTCTGAGCTACTCGTCTCCTGTCTGTTCGCACATGCTTATCCATCTGCTGGGAACATACTTGCTTCTACCGGCCAGTGTCCCCCTCCTAAGCTGGCTGACTTGTGCCCACCCTTCGGGCCTTGACCTCATGGAGGAAGTGATGGTATCTTGGAACACTGCCTGGCGGCTCCTCTGGGGTCGCAGGCCCATTTATGGCCCCATCCAAGCACCCATCCTACCACCTGGTATGCATCTATCTCCTCTGTGAGGGCAGGAACTGGGTCCCATTCCTTCTTGTAGCCCCAAGTCTGGGCACGGTGCCTCGCACATGGTAAATGCACCTGGAGGGCAGCTACAGGTAGGTAGCTGGGTGGGAGAACAGGGCCTTTGGACCTTCCCAGTGTCTGCTGGTGACCATGTGGGGCGCCCTTTGACCTCCTCAGCCTCTAGGAGCCCCAGGATGACTACCAGGCCTGCCTTTCATGAGGGGCACCTCCCCGCGCCTCAGCAGGCCTGAGGGGGTGCTTGCCAGACTAGGCAGCCGAACTCCACTCCCACCTCCTGTGATTCATGAGCAGCTCTCGGTGCAGCTCCTGGTGGCTCCGGGAGGCCTTCACGGGGTTCAGCAGCTTCTTGGGCTTGATGAGCTCCGGGTTCCACTCTCTGTATTCCTGCCGGGCCATCAGGCCTCCGATGTCCGCCCGCTCCCTCTGGATCTCCGAGTACATGGAGGCTGTAGAAGTGACAGGGGAGTTGGTCAGAGCTGGGCCCAGTCTCACCCATTCTCCTGGGCGCAGCTGAAGGGCAAGGGTTTTGGTGTTAGATGGATCTCAGCTCACTGTGCGGCCCTGGGCAAGCGACTTGCCTTTCCGAGCCTTGGTTTCCTCGTTTATGAAATGAAGATAATTGAGCCTGTGCACAGGGTTGTAAGGACTGGAGATGATGGCTGTAAAGTGGGGTATAGAAAAGTGCTACTTTTCTTAACCCCTAAAAGTGGGGTCACAAAGTGTATGGGTTGACGCATGCAAATGCTTTTGGTCTGACTTTGAAAAAAACTTTTCCCTCCTATAAACGGAATTCTGTTTCTCATTGAGCTTGTATCAGAAAAAGAAACGATATTTAAAAAGAGCACTATGTACTTGTTAGGGATAATTTGGATAAATGCAGTGATCAAAAGAAAATATCTCCCCTTATTGTCCAACTTCCCTATCTATAGTTCCAAATTTCCTCATGGACATGTCCAGCTTTTCACTTTCTCCAGACCAAAGAGGAGGGTGTGAAATCCCAGGACTGCCATGTCTACTTACAAAGGGGTGAGAGTGGGAGTGGGGATTTTTTTTTTTTTTTTTTTTTTTGCGGTACGCGGGCCTCTCATTGTCGTGGCCTCTCGCGTTGCGGAGCACAGGCTCCGGACGCGCAGGCTCAGCGGCCCTGGCTCACAGGCCCAGCTGCTCCCCAGCATGTGGGATTTTCCTGGACCGGGGCACGAACCCGTGTCCCCTGCATCGGCAGGTGGACTCTCAACCACTGAGCCACCCGGGAAGCCCGAGGGTGAGGATTTTTAAGAAAAAGTCTCAAGAGGGTGACACAGACTGGCCATTAGCTGCATGTAGTATTTAGAGTGAAAATTTAGGCCTTGGCTCTGCTCCCTTCATGAGTCCCGCTTTTCTGAGGTTGAGCCTCTACTATACGCTAGGCGTTGGCAGTGTCTGGTCTGTTATATAGTAGGCACTCAATAAATATTTGTTGGCAATTTAAAATAAAAGCTTTGAGGTTGTACAGATGAGAAAACTGATGCTCAGGGAGGTTGGTCTTGGGGAACCAGTGCTTTAAGGCATGTGGTTTCCATGATGCAACTGAGGGGCTGTGTTCTCACTGCATACGTCAGGCTCTAGTCCCCCTCTTAAAAACCACCAACCACCATGTTGCCTGTGGACAGACCCTCACTTCTTCCCTCCCACTGGGAAGAGGATGAAAGCCATTTTCTGCTTGATGAACAGGAGTTCTCCAAGTAAACTAGACAGGGATGGTGGTCTGTGCAAGAACCTGGAAGTGGGTAATAGGTCAGTGGGGTTGGAAAACACAGGAGGAGGGGGTTTGATGGGGTGCAGATTGCAAGGTGACATGTTAGGGAATGTGGGCATCAAAGGGGAGATGATGCTTTGCAAATGGTAGCACTCCAGACACATGTTTGGCATTTCTCTTATTACCTACTGCCAGGTGCTGTGAGGAGGATTGAGACCCCATTTGTAAAGATGCTGTGTAAACTGAGAAGAGTGTTAATCTTGCTACATCCAAAATATAATAATTAAGTGTCAGAGCCTAGAGACATGGTTGCTAATTTTCTTTCTTGAATTCCCATTCTCCAAACTTCTAAAATGAGAATTCTAATTAATTTTCTTTTTTCAGAAGGCTATTTGTTTTTCAGGTTATATCTTTCTTAATTTTTTGGTCCTTAAAAAATGATTGTGGTAGGGTTTAGTAGTTAGTTAAAAACAAACAATTGGCTATATCAACCCCCTCCTCCTTTAAAAATGTGGATATTTTCTTAGTCTGAGATTAAGTTGTTTGGGAGCCAGTGTGTTAGAATATCTTGATTCAGATTGGAGTTTGGGGAATCTTTCCCCCTTCCACTGCCTTTTCCCATTACCAAGTCTCACCAGTCCTTTATCTGAGTAATTCTTAGCTACACTCTTTTCTTCCTATGTGCTCAGCTCTCATCTTTCCCAGCCCATTATCACACCACACTAATTGCTTCAGCTCCTTGGCTAGTCGTCCTGCCCTTAATTCCTGTGTGCCCCAAACCTTCCAAAGCTTCATAATTTTTTATCAGTCACACCATCTTTAAAACAACTAACTGTATGTTGCCAAAGCAATGAGTTAGGAAACAGAAATAAATTATATAACTTTAGGAAAGGAGAGGGCAGAATTAATATTTGCATAAGATATCACTATATGCACCCGGAATTCCCAAATGGATTAACAGAAAAGCTTTTGGAACTAATGAGAAAATTCAAGTGTGGCCAGATACAAACCAGGTCCACAAAACCAAGAGCTCCTGCATAACAGGAATGGCCATTGAGAAAGTACACAATCATACAATTATTCATTCATCCTACCATATGTTAGAGTTTCTATAATCTGCCAGGTATGGTGGTAGACAGAGATGAACTAAACAGGCAAGGCTCCCACTCCCACAGAGCTGACATTCTGCTAGGGAGGCAGACAGCAAACATGTACACAAACCAACAAAAATAAATGATTGCAAGTCGCGAGGAGCCTGCTCAGGGAATTGGGGGGGTGGCGGGCGGCGCTAGGACAGAGACTAACAGGAGGACCCTCCTTCAGCCAGGTGCAGCAAGAGGGCCTCTCTGGGAGGTGACCTTTAAGATCTGACGGTTGAGAAGGAAGAGGGAGCCTGTGTGGGGCAGAGGGAACAGCATGGGTGACTCACGTACCTTGAACAAGCTACGTCTGTTCAGAAAACAAAAAGGCATAGTGTGTCTGCAGTGGCGTGAGGGAGTGACCCAGAGCGTGGAGTGAGGGTGGACGGGTGGTTTCAAGTTGGGGAAAGATCGCCTCTGATTTGATTTTAAGAAGGTCATTCTCACTGCTGTGTGGGGGAAAAACTGTGAGCAGGTTTTGGGAATTTTTGATATGACTTTGGTTTCTTTTACTTCCAATGGGCAGCCTCTGTCTTTCCCATTAAATTCGAGGAAAAACATCTGACTGGCCAGGCTGCGGACCTTCATTTCGAAGGTCATCCGCGAGCCAATGAGTTGGCCGCCCCGGGGCCAGTCCTCAGCCCAGCAGGGACCACACAGGATCGTGCTTACAAGGGGGTCCTGCGTTTTCATTTTGCACTGGGCCCTGCAAATTATGTAGCCAGTCCTGCACCCCAGGTCCAATCAATTTGCAGCTCTGGTTCAAGGATCTGCTCTAGGCATATTAAAAAAAAAAAAAAATCAGTGGTGAGGTGTGGGAGATGATGTTTTGCTGAGACCAGGGTGGTGTGGTCACTGAGGCAGGAATCCTGTAGGATGTGGCTGGTTCTTCAGCTCAGAGCTGCAACTTGGGAAAACTGCTGCTGTTGCCAGTTAGGGTTCTAAACTCCAGCAAACATGTGTGAGATCCATGGACGTGTGTGTGTGGCCCCCAGGGTTTAGACAGCTGCTGAGCCAACCTTCCTGCCTTTAATTTAATTAAAAGAGGCCTCCATGTAGAAGGGCCTCACATAGGTGTTGGAATAAAAGAGGCTGCTCAGCAAAGCACAGGAGCTAGGCCAGGAAAATCGGGCTCTCTTGGGGATCAGCTGGGCCCTCTGAGCAGAGGAGGGGTCCATTCTCAGGGCTGCTCTGGCCAGGTCTCTCAGGCTGCTGGGGTGTCCTCAGAGATCCGAGACTTTTGGGGAGGTGGCCGTGATGGGGCAAAGATGTGAGGTAAGGTGAGCCCAAGGTCATCTCTGAAAAGAAAAAGGTGAACGCCCCAAGGAAGAGCTGGCAGGGAAGAAGACCAGTTGAGGAGAAAGTTGAGTAGCTAATGAATATCCTTCACTGGTTGGCAAAGAAAGGCAGAATAATGTTGGAGCCATTAGAACCTGGGTTGAATGCTGGCTCAGCCCGTTCCTAGCCATGGGCAAGTGTACCTATCCTCTGCAGCAGGAGTCCAAAAACTATAGTCTTTGGGTCAAATGCAACCCCTTTGGGACAAAGCCATACCCACTCATTACTTATTGTGTGCGGCTGCTTCCTCTAGAACAGCAGCGTTGAGGAGGTGTGACAGCTGCTCTTGATCAGCACGCTTCTTCATGAGGTTGTTACAAAACAAAGGAGGTGATACTTGCATGGTGCTTGGCAAGTTAGTGCCTAGCACTGAGTGGAGCACTCAGTAAGTGCCGGCTACTAGAGCTGCCACATACAGTGAGGCAGGTTGTGCACTGAACAACTCCAGGGCCTCACTCCTATAGATGAAGCTATGAGTGGGGCCACCTCGTTAGCCGTTATTAATAAGCACGATTAAAATATCCAACTTCTAGTCTTGGATTGCGCATTCTCCTTAAAAACTGTACTAGTTAAATCAGTGGATTTTAACCCTGGCTGCATACTGACATCATGAGAGGGAGTTTAAAAAATACCAATGTCTGAGTCCTACCCTGGGATTCTGATTTAATTGGCCTGGGAGACAGCTTGGCCTTTGGGATTTTAAAAAACTCCCCAAGGGGGTGGAGATAAGATGGCAGAGTAGAAGGACATGAGCTCACCTCCTCTCATGGAAACACCAAAGTCACAACTAACTGCTGAACAACCGTCAACAAAAGAATGCTGGGTGACTGTACCAGCATCCTGGGTGGCGACCGAGACCCAGATGTTTGGAGCTGCCAGATGTCACATCACATCATGGGAGAGGACTTTCCAAGGTGGCAGAGGAGGCCATGGAGTTCATCTCTCCCCACAGACACATCAAGAATACACTTACAGGGCTTCCCTGGTGGTGCAGTAGTTGGGACTCCGCCTGCCGATGCAGGGGACACGGGTTCGTGCCCCGCTCTGGGAGGATCCCACATATGCCACAGAGTGGCTGGGCCCGTGAGCCATGGCCACTGAGCCTGCGCGTCCGGAGCCTGTGCTCCGCAACGGGAGAGGCCCGCGTACCGCAAAAAAAAGAATACATCTACAAATGGAACAGGTCTCACAGAGCACCTGATGAACACTAGCAGAGGATCCCCAGACACCCTAAAAGGATAAGAAAGATCCCCACATAACCGGGTAGGACAAACAAAAGAAGGGAAAAGGAAGAGGAGAGGAAGCAGGATGGGACCTGTGCCCCTGGTGGGGAGCTGAAGGTGAGGAGAGGTTGCTGCATCTGGGGAAGGCCCCTCACCGGCAGGGAGATCAGCTGGGACAGAAGGGGAGCCTCGGGGGCTCGGAGGAGAGCCCAGCAACCAGTCTGTGGCTGTCAGGACAGGGAGAGACCTACACAGATGGTCTGTGCCACAGCCCTGCATGCCCCAGCCTGAGATGGGTGTCCACCGGTGCTCACGGGGGCTGGAACGTGGGGTTTGGAGAGCAGACCTGGGGAGGGGAGTGCTGTTGGCCGTGAGAAGACAGCCTGAGGGGATAGGACTGAGGAGCTCCTGCCCTGGGCAGCCTGCTCTCCCTGAGCACTGCCTCGGCTCCTTCCTGCCCGATGGGCTCGTGTGCTCCGGCATGCTCTGGAGCAGACCCTGGTGGGGGGGACACACACAGAGGCGGCGCTGAAACCACAGCCGAGCACTGTGTGACTAAGGGGCCAGGGGCCCTGTGACTAAGGAAGAAGAGCTGAAATCTCTCCTCGTGGCTGTGTGAACCATGCAGATACACGTTCACTGACGGCTTCCTAAATTCAGCACCTGCGAAACATCAGAAAGGACAGCAAGGGCTCCTGCAGCTGGGACGGGTCTGGTTTTAGCAGCTGTGGGCTCTGTGGGTACGTACACTTGGGGGCTGGGCCGGGCCAGAGTCTGAGCTGCCTCCACAGCTCCCACCACGGGTCCAGGTGCACGACTACTGCAGTCCTGGGACCTGACCTCAGTGGACCTGCACCAGTGGCCTGGTGAAAACAACGTCTAAGAGTCAACAAGGCCAATTGCTGGCATACCCGCAGTTAAGGTGGGACCGAGAGCAGTGCCAGCAAGTGTACTTTGTGAGCCTGTACAACAGGCGAAAGGGGACACAACAGAGCACGTTCACAGGTGAACAGCTCCAGAGGAGGACTACGCAGTGGCTTCTCTACCATTGGGAGTTCTCCAGTCCCATTCACCTCACACTGCAGATCAGAGACACAGCTAAGAAACAGATTTACGGGCCTCTACTCCAACAACTAGGGAGCAGACTCTGCCCCTGACAGGGCAGTGACAACCACAGAGCAAAGGGGAGGCCTCACGCAATAGCCAGGGCAGGCTCTGGTCACCAGAACACCAGTCAAACCCCCTATCCAGGGGATAATGGCACAAGCCTCAGGACCAACCTCACCCACCAGGGGCAGACACCAGAAGCAAGAGGAACTATGATCCTGCAGCCTGCAGAAAGGAGACCACAAATGCAGTAAGTTAGACAAAATGAGACGATGAAGAAATATGTTGCAGATGAAGGTGCAAGATAAAAACCTATAAGAACTAAATGAAGAGGAGATAGGCAATCTACCTGAAAAAGAATTCAGAGTAATGACAGTAAAGATGATCCAAGATCTTGGAAAAAGAATGGAGGCACAGATCAAGAAGATACAAGAAATGTTTAAAAAAGACCTAGAACTAAAGAACAATCAGTGATGACAACACAGTAAGTGAAATGAAAAATACACTAGAAGGAATCAATAGCAGAATAACTGAGGCAGAAGACCAGATAAGTGAGCTGGAAGACAGAATGGAGGAAATCACTGCCACAGAACAGAATAAAGAATGAAAAGAAATGAGGAAAGTCTCAGAGGCCTCTGGGACAACATTAAATGCAACAACATTCAAATTATAGGGGTCCAAGAAGAAGAAAAAGAGAAAGGGCCGGAGGAAATATCTGAAGAGATTATAGTCGAAAACTTCCCTAACATGGGAAAGGAAATACCCAAGTCCAGGAAGCGCATAGAGTTCCACACAGGATAAACCCAAGGAGGAACATGCCGAGACACATATTAATCAAAGTAACAAAAATTAAATACAAAGAAAAAATATTGGGAAAAGCAACAAATGCCACACAAAGGAATTCCCATAACATTATCAGTTGATACTAATAAACTCTGCAGCCCAGAGGGAGTGGCAGGATGTATTTAAAGTGATGAAAGGGAAGAGCCCACAGCCAAGAAAACTCTACCCAGCAAGGCTCTCATTCAGATTTGAGGGAGAAATCAAAAGCTTTACAGACAAGTTAAGAGAATTCACCACCACCAAACGAGCATTACAACAAATGCTAAAGGAACTTCTCTGGGGGTAGGCGAGAGAGGCCACAACTAAAAAAAGAAAATCACAAATGGGAAAGCTCAATGGTAAAGGCAAAAATACAGTAAAAGCAGGAAATCATCTATATACAAGTATGACATCAAAACCAGTAACTGTGAGAAGAGAGTACAAATGCAGGAAATGGGAATTACATTTGAAATTAAGAGACCAGCAACTTAAAACAACCTTGTGTGTATGTATGTGTATATAGACTGCTTTATCAAAACCTCATGGGAAATGCAAACCAAAAAACTATAATAGATACACACACACACAAAAAAGCAACCCAAACACAACACTCAAGATGGTCATCAAACCACAAGAGAACAAAAGAAGGGAAGGAAAAAAGACCTACAAAAACAAACCCAAAACAATTAAGAAAATGGTAATAAGAACATACATATTAATAATTACCTTAAATGTAAATGGATTAAATGCTCCAACCAAAAGACACAGACTGGCTGAATGGATACAAAAACAAGACCCGTATATATGCTGTCTACAAGAGACCCACTTCAGATCTAGGGACACATACAGACTGAAAATGAGGGGATGGAAAAAGACATTCCATGCAAATGGAAATCAAAAGAAAGCTGGAGTAGCAGTACTCATATCAGACAAAATAGACTTTAAAATAAAGAGTGTTACAAGAGACAAGGAAGGACACTACATAATGATCAAGGGATCACTCCAAAAAGAAGATATAACAATTGTAAATGTATATGCACCCAATTTAGGAGCACCTCAATATATAAGGCAAATGCTAACAGCCATACATGGGGAAATCAACAGTAATACAGTAATAGCAGGGGGCTTTAATACCCCACTTAAACAAATGGATGTATCATCCAGACAGAAAATTAATAAGGACACACAGGCCTTAAATGACACATTAGATCAGATAGACTTAATTGACATATATAGGGCTTTCCATCCGAAAGCAGTAGAATACACTTTCTTCTCAAGTGCACACGGAACATTCTCCAGGATAGATCACATCTTGGATCACAAATCAATCCTTGGTATTTTAAGAAAATGAAATTATATCAAGCAGGTTTTCCAACTGCAATGCTATGAAATTAGAAATCATTCTAATAAATTAGAAATCTAATTATTGTATTAGAAATCAATTACAGGGAAAAAACTGTAAAAAACATAAACACATGGAGGCTAGACAATATGTTACTAAATAATCAATTGATCACTGAAGAAATTAAAGAGGAAATAAAAAAATACCTAGAGACAAATGACAATGAAAACATGACGATCCAAAACCTATGGGATACAGCAAAAGCAGTTCTAAGAGGGATGTTTACAGCAATACAGTCCTACCTCAAGAAACGGGAAAAATCTCAAATAAACAACCTAACCTTACACCTAAAGCAACTAAAGAAAGAAAAACAAACAAAACCCAAAGTTAGTAGAAGGAAAGAAATCATAAAGATCAGAGCAGAAATGAATGAAATAGAGATGAAGAAAACAATAGAAAACATCAATGAAATTAAAAGCTGGTTGTTTGAGAAGATAAACAAAACTTACAAACCTTTAGCCAGACTCATCAAGAAAAAAAAGGGAGAAGACTCAAATCAATAAAATTAGAAATCAGTAAGGAGAAGTTACAACTGACACCACAGAAATACAAAGGATCATAAGGGACTACTACAAGCAACCATATGCCAACAAAATGGACAACTTAGAAGAAATGGACAAATTCTTAGAAAGGTACAACCTTCCAAGATTGAACCAGGAAGAAATAGAAAATATGAACAGACCAATCACAAGTACTGAAATTGAAACTGTGATTAAAAATCTTCCAACAAACAAAAGTCTAGGACCAGATGGCTTCACAGGCAAATTCTATCAAACATTTAGAGAAGAGCTAACACCTATTCTTCTGAAACTCTTCCAGAAAGCTGCAGAGGAAGGAACACTCCCAAGCTCATTCTACAAGGCCACCATCACCCTGATGCCAAAACCAAAGATATCCCAAAAAAAGAAAATTACAGGCCAATATCACTGATGAACATAGACATAAAAATCCTCAACAAAATACTAGCAAACTGAATCCAATAACACATTAAAAGGATCATACACCTTGATCAAGTCGGTTTTATCCCAGGGATGCAAGGGTTCTTCAGTATCTGAAAATAATCAGTGTGATACACCAACATTAACAAACTGAAGAATAAAAAACATATGATCATCTCAATAGAAAAAGCTTCTGACAAAATTCAACACCCATTTATGATAAAAAAAACTCTCTAGAAAGTGGGCACAGAGGGAACCTCCCTCAACATAATAAAGGCCATATATGACAAACCCACAGCAAGCATCATTCTCAATGGTGAAAAACTGAAAGCACTTCCTCTAAGATCAGGAACAAGACAAGGATGTCCACTCTCGCCACTTTTAGTTAACATAGTTTTGGAAATCCTAGCTGTGGCAATCAGAAAAGAAAAAGAAATAAAAGGAATCCAAATTGGAAAAGAAGAAGTAAAAGTGTTACTGTTTGCAAGGTGACAT